TTTTTTGGTGTTTGGCTTAGTGTTATGTTAGAATCATTATTATACTCTTATACCTTTTGTTCTTTACTATTTTGAATTGTTTTTAGCTTTATTTTTTGTTTTTCATTTATGTTAAGTTTTGAAATTTTGTTGTATTCATTTGTCATTTTTATTTAATTTCTTTATTTTTTTAAATGTGTATAAGTAGTATTTATAAAGTTTTAGCTTTTAGTTTTGGATCTGTTTTTAGTTGTTTTAATACTACAATTGATTGCTTCTGTTGTCCTCATTTGTAAGTCGCTTTGGATAAAAGCGTCTGCTAAATGACTAAATAAATAAATAAATATAAACAATAATGAAATAACATTGGATATTTCTCTATCCTGCTCCCTCACCATTTGCTGATCATTCTAAAGAAGTCATTTCACATTCTTTGCACAGATTTTAGGGAAAATCTGCAGAATTTTTCAAGATTAATTAAAATAGTACATTTTCTCACAAAAACGTTGAAAGTAATAGCTTTTATTAATATGCTCAAACTAGCCAATATAGTATAATATAGTATAGTCAATTTTATCCCTCCATTTAAAGGGATAGTTCACCCAAAAATTCTGTCATTAATTACTCACCCTCACGTTGTTCTAAACCCGTAAGACCTCCGTTCATCTTCGAAACACAAGCGCAGATATGTTTTCTAAGTTTTTACGCTTTGATTTGAACGAAAACAACATATCCGCGTGATGCAGCTGACACAGAATAGCATACGCTGTTTGCGTTCAGTGGATATTCTCCAAAATGGCACCAGGGTGACGCGGAGGAGACGAATTGATGAATAAAGTTGTTATTTTTGTTTTCTTTGTGTACAAAAAGTATTCTCGTAGCTTTGTAAAATTACGGTTGAACCCCTGATGTCACATGGATTATTTTACCGATCTCCTTGCTTCGTTTCTGGACCTTGATCATGGTAATTACACTGCTGTCTATGGGAGGATCAGAGAGCTCTCAAAGTTCATCAAAAATATCTTAATTTGTGTTCCGAAGATGAACGGAGGTCTTACAGGTTTAGAACGACATGAGGGTGAGTAATTAATAGAATTTTCATTTTTGGGTGAACTAACCCTTTAAGGCAAGTCATGTCACTCGGCGGCCATCTTTGAAATGCCTCTCAGGAATGCAAGTGCAGCTCCTATCTCTTTGAATGGGGAAACATCAAATTCTCCAAAATTGTTTCACCAAACTTACGATCAAATTTCATATTTGAAATCACCAATGAAATCTGACAACAACTGCCTCGTAAATGTTATTTCTTTTGCTCAAATAGAGTTTAAAAAAAGCTTATTATTCAGGCTAGACCAGCCAGTGTGCATGCGCAGTCCTAAGCGTGTGTTTCAGAACACCAACTGTTTCTATAGCAACCGGGACTTCGGCAGCTGCAGTGACGTGCTGGCTTTACCGATTAGCGATTGGCTCTTTTACACAAAAGGCAGGGCTTCCTTCAATAGAGTGTCCATATTGAGCGTGCATTTTTTCCCCATTCAAAACTATACGAGTGACATATCTTGGGTATTCTATAGTCTTTGGTATAGTATAATATAATATAATATAGTGTAGTGTAGTGTAGTGTAGTGTAGTGTAGTGTAGTATAGTATAGTATAGTATAGTATAGTATAGTATAGTATAATATATAATATTTCACAGAAAAAGTATTCTCAGAAAAAAAAAAGAATAAAGTGGTCTCTGGGGTGATACCATGGTAAAAAAACTAAAAAGGTACATTATTGTACCTTATTTACCCCTAAATGTCACATATTAGTACCTTTTGAAAAGGTAAAAGTGACAGTTTTTTATCTTTTTTTCTGAGAGTGAAAGGGCAGGGGATATGTGGAACATCATGAATGACAGGTGTTTAAACAAATCTTTGGCCACACATTCTGTGTGGATTTAATGACGATGCTCCAGGATGACATTCAAAGATCAATTCTGAAATAATTAAATCCCTTATTTGCTGTATAGTGAGCAGTCCGTCTTAAAAATGTTTCAAAAATGTCTAAATGAGATGGTCAGGACATGGTCAGAAATGTATGCTCACAAACACTTAACTGCCTTCAGTACATCTCAAGATATTTCCTGCGTTATAAGCCTGTGAAATGTTATTGATGAAATGACGACAGTCACTGGCAGTGAATGTGTTTGTGTGGGTGTGAAACCGAGAGCAAATAAGAAGGGAGGAAAGAAGGAGAAGGAGAAGAGAGAGGAAAGAGATGCACTGTGAATGTTAAACATTCTGTGCAATAAATCACACAATTATAATTTGAGCATCCAGAGATTCAGGCATCTTCACAGCAAAAAAATCCTGATCTTAATCAGTATCAGTTTTCCAGTTGAAGGAAGATCTAAACATCTGTACATAAATGTGTATTAACAGGGAAATTACATCGATAGTAAGCCTTCATGTCATGGTGTTTATCCTGTTGCAGTGGCAGATATTTTTGACTTGTTTTAACTATAAGCCTCATATTCTCATATATTTTTTGCAGTGTACTTCTTTAAGATGGGTAATGTAAAACATGGATGCAATAGATGGATGCACAAAGCATAGCGATCCATGAAGACTGCGTGGATAAAAGGTCTCGAGCGCTCTCATACTCCCACACACTTCCAGAACAAGGCCAAATGGCCACACACAAACGTGTAATTTCAAGAGAGAAAATCGACAGTGCTACCACTGTCAGCTTCCTGTGTGTGTGTGTGTGTGTGTTACACATGTTATACAATCATTCCCTCAGAGAGGCTGGAAGGATGAATGCTGTTCCCTCTGTTCTATACTTCCAGTAGTTAGCATTCCCACAGATATTAAAGGTTAACCTACAGAGCACAACAGTAGAGTTCTGGAAGTTAAAATCCCATTCATTTTCAACTGCACATACTGTACATCTTTTAAAACAAATGTGCTATGAGCTCTGAGCTCTGAGGTTGTTAAGTGATGTGCCTCTGTGGAAACCAGAAATCAGCATGATTTCAATTTCATATCATTTTTAAGCAATGAATATCTGGTAAATTACACAAAATCCTGAAGAGAGATCCACCAATCATGAAGTTGCTGTTACCATAGTAATGGGAATCGGTGCAACAGCAGAGCTCAAAAGTGATAGTCCACATGTCCATAGTTAATTTTAGTTCTCAGTACTCTGAAACAAGCATCCTTTCAGACAAATAAATACTCAAATGCTCATTACCTGTAAAATGACTTTTTGCTCAATTCCTCCACATAGAGATGACAATGACGACTAGAATTAAATTATCACATGAATAAATTATAAGCATATTAGAATGATTTCTGAAGGATTATGTGACACTGAAGACTGGAGTAATGGCTGCTGAAAATTGAGATTTGCCATCACAGGAATAAATTACATTTTAAAATATATTCACATAGAAAACAGCTATTTTAAATTGAATTTTTTTTTCACAATCTTACTATTTTTACTGTATTTTGATCAAATAAATGCAGCTTTTGTGAGAATAAGAGACTTCTTTAAAAAAATTATAATAAGTACCGACCCCAAACTTTTGAACTTGGTATTTTTAAATTAATATTCACAATGAATGGGATGAATAATTAATTCCATTATTTAAAAAAAAACAAACAAAAAAAAACCATACCTTCATCTTTTCAAATGTTTTATTGTATAGAAACAATTGATGTATTGTTGTAACTGACATTAGAGCTAGTTGGGTTTCCTCCAAGAAATATTTATTGAGGACATTTTTTAATTGCCTATGAAGAAAATGAATGGGACAAACACTTCTGAATCACTAATGTGCTCTATGCAGACACACCTCAATCCAAGTGGATCCCTCAAGGCACATAATCAGTGGTGAAACTGAGCTTTTGGAACACATAAAGTAAAAAATAAAATCAACAGCGCTTTCAAACCTAGAATTGCAGTATAACAAACATAGCAACACACTAAAAAAAACAAACCCTATAGTATAATAGCAACAAGTTTTACTGTACATGGGCAAGCAGCTCATTATTTTCTCCAGAAAATGTACAAATATAATAATCAAATTACTTAACAAATAAACTAAATGTTTTCTAACAAATCCATGT